ATAAAATATTACTGCTGGAGGGCAGAATGATAATGTAGTGGGCAGGACATTTGTCTTGCACACTGCCTGACCTGAGTTTGATCCCATATGGTCCTCAGAGCACCATCAAGAATAATTTGTGAGTGCAGAGCCAGGAGGAGTAACCCCTGAGCAAAGCTGGGTATGGCCACAAAACAAACACAAAATCATTACTGCTTATTTACAATGCACACAAAAGTTTAGACGGTGACAATTTAAGGAGACTGTTTTCATGTGGCTAAGATAACAACCATTCTGCAACCATGGATGAAAGGGTCACTATGACTTTCAAGTTGAACCAAGAAAAACATGTTAATTTAATTACTGATTTTTGGCTCTGGTGCCATACCCAATGGTGCTCAGGGCTGACTCCTAGCTATGTGCTCTGGGGTCACTCCGGGCAGTGCTCAGGGACCATACGTGGTATTGGGGATCAAACTAGGACCAAGTGCGTGCAAGGCAAATGACTTGTACTGTATCATATTAACAACTATACTATGTCTCTGCCCCCCAAATGGTAGTTTTAAAAGCTAGAAATGCCACAGATAATTCTTCTGGAAACTCCGGGTAAAATAAATGCAAAGAATCACCATTCTAGATGCCTTTAAAGAATATCTGAGATTCATGAGAGGGGGTAAACATAACAACATTCCCAGGGTTTGGGAAGAAGCTGATGTCATACTCTGTGGATAACCTGAGGGGTTCAAACTGTCAACAGAGGAAGTAAGTGCAGAAGTGAAAGAAACACCATGGGAATTAGAAGTGGAGCCTGAGGGTGAAACTGAATTGCTATAATTTCATGATAAAACTTGAATGGATGAGGAGTTGATTCTTACAGGGGAGCAAAAAAAAAAGTCATTTTCTTAGATGGAATCTACTTCTGGCAAAGATGCTGTGAATCCCGCTGAAAGAACAACAAAGGAATTCAGATATAAATTCTGCTGGTCAAGCAGGGTTAAAGAGGATTGAGATTTGAAAGTTTGAAAGTTCTCGATTTTAAAAGTTCTACTGTGAGTAAAATTTTATCAAACAGCGTCACAACCTAGAGAAAACCTCTCATGAAAGAAAGAGTCCAACTGTTTGGCAAAAATTGTCTTAAGATATTTCCAAACACTCCAAATTTCAGTGGCTACTATTCTGATCAGTCACTACATCAATATCAAGGTAAGATGCCACCATCAAAAAACATTACAGCTCGATGAATGCTCCATGATAACATTTTTGGTAATAAAACATTTTTAAATTAAGATATGGATATTCATTTAACCATAATGCCATAGCATACCTAATGGACTACAATATAGTATGAATATAAATTCTATATGGACCAGAGAAGCAATTTTTGTGAGTGACTTTATTACAAGATTTGCATTACTGCAGTGACCTGCAAACTGAATCCACAATATTTGTAAACGGTACCTCTAAGAGCTGAATCTGTCACTGAATTCTGACTCTGGCTTCCCTGGAGCAGCAAGGGACCCACATAGCTGGGGTCAAACCCTAGTGACAGCATGCAAGGCCTTCCCCAGGCACTATTAAATCCTTTGCAGAAAGGGAAAGCAAACAGCAGCAGGAGAAAGCACTCGCACACGCTCAGAGACAGGTATTCACCTGTTCACTTATTAATTAGCAGAAATTTATGAAGATTATAGGAAACTAGACACCAAGTTCTACAGTGCAGCTACAGCGTACCAAAACACACACACATACACACACACACACACACACACACACCCCACACATGAGCAAGCCCTGCTTCTGGTCGAGGTGGCCCAGACAGCGCTCTCAGTGGGTTTCCCTCCCTCCCGTCACAGCCCTAGCACGCATGCATGTGCATACACACGCATGTGCATACACACGCATACACACACACACACACACACACACACCAGTGAGAGAGCCCTGCTTCTAGTCGAGGTGGCCCAGACAGTGCTCCCAGCAGATTTCCAGACAGCACTTCCAATGGGTTTCCCTTCCATCACCGTCCTAGGGTTCTCTCTCTCTCTCTCTCTCTCTCTCTCTCTCTCTCTCTCTCTCTCTCTCTCTCTCTCCCCCTCCCTCCCTCCCTCCCTCCCTCCCATTGCTGTTTCACTTTCCTTTTCTATAAAGGATTAATAATACCTGGGGAAGGCCTTGCATGCATCCACTAGGGTTTGACCCCAGCATCGCAGGTCCCTTACCGCCCCAGGGAAGCCAGTAGTGTACACACACACACACACACACACACACACACACACACACACACGTACACACACATGCCAAGAGCCCTGCTTCTAGTCGAGGTGGCCCAGAAGGCTCCCAGTGGGTTTCCTTTCATCATCATCACTGTCCTAGCCCGCGCACACGCATACACACACACAGACTCATACACATACACACACCCCAGGAGCGAGTTCAGCTTCTAGTCGAGGTGATTCAGACAGTGCTTCCAATGTGTTTACCTTCCATCACTGCCCTAGTGTACACACACACACACACACACACACACACACACACACACACACACACACACACCAGTGAGAGAGCCCTGCTTCTAAGACAATGCTCTCAGTGTGTTTCCCTTCCAACAACACTCTAGTGTACACACACATACAGATACCCACACCCACACATACGCAGAGAGAGCCCTGCTTCTAGGTGAAGTGGCCCAGATAGCACTTCCAATGAGTTTCCCTTCTATCATTGCCCTAGGACACACCACACACACACAGACACACAGACACACACACACACACTCTCATATACACATGGACACACCAGCAAGCAAGCTCTGCTTCTAGTCGAGGTGGCCAACAGCACTTCCAGCGGCTTCCCTTCCATCACCGCCCTAGTGTACACACAGACACCCAAACCACCCACCCACCCCTCCCCCCACTCACAGACACACGCCAGTGAAAGTCCTGCTTCTAGTCAAGGTGGCCCAAACAGCGCTTCCTGTGGGTTTGCCTTCCATCACTGCCCTAGGGTACACATACACACACACAAACACACACACACACATACACACAGACTCATACACACACAAACACACACATACATTCCAGCGAGCAAGCCCTGCTTCTAGTTGAGGTGGCCGACAGCGTTTCCAGCAGGTTTCCCTTCCATCACCACCCTAGTGTACACACACACACACACATACCCACACCACCCCCCACATACACATACACATGCACACACACGCCAGCGAGAGCCCTGCTTCTAAGACAATGCTCCCAGAGATTTCCCTTCCATCACTGCCCTAGCGTACACACACACAGACACACACACAGACACACACACAGACACACACACACACACACACACCAGCGAGAGCCCCGCTTCTAGTTGAGGTGGCCCCATAGCACTCACCTATGGGTTTCCCTCCCATCATCACCTGAGCACGCCTGTGCACACACACACACCCACCCACCAGCGAGAGAGCCCTGCTTCTAAGACAGTGCTCCCATTGGGTTTTCCTTCCATCACCGCCCTAGTGTACACACACACAGACACCCACACCCAACCACACACACACACACACACACAGGCACATACGCCAGAGAGAGAGCCCTGCTATTAGTAGAGGTGGTCGACAGCGCTTCCAGTGGGTTTCCCTTCCATCCCCGCCCTAGCATACACCCCCCACACACACCCACACACATACACACCCACACAAGGACACACGCCGGAGAGAGAGCCCTGCTTCTAATCGAGGTGGCCCAAACAGCACTTCCAGTAGGTTTACCTTCCATCACCGCCCTAGTGCACACACGCACACACACAGACACACACACGCCACAGACACACAGACACACACACACACACACACACACACACAGACAAACTGGGACACACGCCAGAGAGAGAGCCCTGCTTCTAATCGAGGTGGCCCAAACAGCACTTCCAATAGGTTTACCTTCCATCACCGCCCTAGTGCACACACGCACACACACAGACACACAGACACACACACACACCACACAGACACACACACACAGACACACACACACACACACACACACACGGACACACGCCAGAGAGAGAGCCCTGCTATTAGTAGAGGTGGTCGACAGTGCTTCCAGTGGGTTTCCCTTCCATCCCCGCCCTAGCGTACACTCCCCCTCCACACACCCCCACCCCCACAAGGACACACTCCGGAGAGAGAGAGCCCTGCTTCTAGTCCAGGTGGCCCAAACAGCACTTCCAGTAGGTTTACCTTCCATCATTGCCCTAGTGCACACACGCACACACACAGACACACAGACACACACACACACCACACAGACACACACACACAGGGACACACGCCAGAGAGAGAGCCCTGCTTCTAATCGAGGTGGCCCAAACAGCACTTCCAGTAGGTTTACCTTCCATCATTGCCCTAGTGCACACACGCACACACACAGACACACAGACACACACACACACCACACAGACACACACACACAGGGACACACGCCAGAGAGAGAGCCCTGCTTCTAATCGAGGTGGCCCAAACAGCACTTCCAGTAGGTTTACCTTCCATCACCGCCCTAGTGCACACACACAGACACACACACACACCACAGACACACAGACAGACAGACACACACACACACACACACACACACACACACACTGGGACACACGCCAGAGAGAGAGCCCTGCTTCTAATCGAGGTGGCCCAAACAGCACTTCCAGTAGGTTTACCTTCCATCGCCGCCCTAGTGCACACACGCACACACGTGCACGCACACACACACACACACACACGCACGCACGCCAGCGAGCGAGCCCCGCTTCTAGGGGAGGTGGCCCACTCAGCCCGCCCTTGGCTGCGCACGCCAAGGCCCCGCACCAAGCCCAGGGCGCGGCGGGGGACACGAGCTCCGCTCCCACGGGCCAGAGGCGCCGCGGCACCCACTGGGAGTCCCGGCCCGGGCCAGCCAGGCCCCGCCCGAGGGCCCGGCCCCCCGCAGCCCGCCCCGCCGCCCGCCCCGGCCCCGCGCCCGCCCCGGCCGTACCTGCCCGCGCTCCGCCCGGCGCTGCAGTTCCGAGTGCCGCTCCAGGGCGCTGGCGAAGCCGCCCGCGCGCGCCGTAGACTCTCCGGGCTCGGAACTCTCGCCCCCGGCTCCGCTGTCACCGCTGGCGCCGCGACACGATCGGGAGAAGAGAAAAAGTCGCGGGAAATGCCTCCTGGCTGTCAAGGCACGAGTTCCACACAGCGCCGCCATTGTGGCCGGACGCCTGACCTTTGACCGCTCCGCCTGCGCGCGGGTCACGGGGCGGGGCTTCAGGAGCTCCGCCCCCCTGGAGGCCGGGGGCGGGGCCGGGAGACTCTAGGCGGAGGCGTTAGCCACCTAAAGCTGGGCGATTAGTGACTTAGTAAATCATAGTTATCTCAATTAAAAGTTTTTTGTTTTTTTTAATAGCTATGCTGAATTCTCCGTGAATGGAGGCCCCCTACTGGTTAGTAATCCACTGTTGCTAGTGACCTGCAAAGTTTTGCAATAAATGCATTTTTTTTTTCTATTTGGGTCACATCCAGCCATGCACAGGGCTTACTCCTGGTTCTGCACTCAGAATTACCCCTGGCGGTGCTCAGGGGACCATATGGGATGCTGGGAATCGAATCAAACGCCCTACCCGCTGTGCTATTTATTGCTCCAGCCCCAGTAAATGCATTTTGAATCGTTGGAAATTGTCCTTCTGGACATCTCTTGGGTCTTATCCTGAATCCATTCTACTAGGACTTGCTGGCCCTGTCCCCTGGGTGGGCCCCCCAGGGGAACTCTAGCTCTCTCCCTCACCGCTCGTGCTTTCTTTGCTCACCTGAGGTCTTTCTGACTGCCTTAGAATTAAGTTTCCATTCTAATTGAAATCCCTCATTGGATCCCTTGTTTCTGTTATTCAGCAGCTCTTTATGTGCCATATAGGAATAGTTTGCTTAGAATAATTTTGCTTTGCTTGTATCTCCCAACTTTGTAAACATTTGGGGCAGGAACTTTACTGTTGGATACCTAACATTGAATACATAGTAGGGCTCCACAAACAGTGCTCCTGCGTCTGTTCTGGTCAGGCCGCTAACTTCACAAAAAGTGTAATCTTTCTGAGCTGTTTTTATTACTTCTAGTTATCTACATTCCTTTTCAGAAGAATGTGACAAAACACTAGTAATTGCTCACCCTCTTCATTTCCTCTCTTTCCTCCCATATCGTTCATTCCCAGGACTTACCCACCCTGCTGAGCATCCAGCTTAAAGCATGATTTAAAATGTCCTTACTGAATAAACCACCTCTCTAGACAATATCTTTTTTGTTAGTTTGGACTTTCATGATTTTGATGTACAAAGTTACTGCACCTTCCTTACCACCAAAGTTCCCAACACCCTCCACCACTGTTCTACCAGCATTTTAGCGTGAATCTACATTCCTTCTGGGGGTCGGTGGCAAAAACATTTCCAGTCCATATAAGTTGGCAGACGGAATTGTTATGTAACAGCCCGTCTTAATACCTTTGACTCGACATACATGCTTTTCTCAGCAACAGTATAAAAAATACTAAAGAATGCTAACCTCTGGATGGTGCATCACGATCACGATTGCGACCATCCGGTTGTTCGTCGATTGCCTCGAGCAAGCCCCAGTAACGTCTCCTTCGTCCTAGCCCTGAGATTTTTTTAAAAGTGCCATATTCAAGGCTCTTTCAGGGTTAGGAGCATGAGACCCATCATTGTTACTGGTATTTGGCATATTGGGTACACCACGGAGAGTTTGCCAGACTCTGCCGTGTGGGCAGGTTACATTCGGTAGCCTGCCAGGTTGTCCCAAGAAGGAATAAGATAATAAGATGTCGCTTCCGGGAGCTGGGTTTTATAGTCTCTGGGTCTTGGCCATTGATGGGATTACACGGCGCCAGGGGGTCAGTTGGTGGGTGTGACCCCCTCCTACTGGAAGGTGAAGGATCTGGGTGGAGGATGCTCAGCCCCAATCCGAGCAGGCTTGGAGATCTCAGCCCCCAGACCCACATGCTTTTGTTCCTCTGCCGGTACCTTCATGTGTGTGGAGAGTGGTCTCGGCATGGTGGTGGCTGGTTCTGGAGGTCTTCGGCTGCTGGAGCCCTGGTCGGGGCGGGGAGGAAAACTTAACCCACTCCTCTCCAAGGGGCCCCCGGCGAGGACAGCCAGGCATGGGGGCAGGAGACTCTGGATGGTGCATATTTGTGTGAATTACATCATAAGTCAGCTGTTGTTAACCCTTACAAATCCATTATAGTGTTTACAAATTTCTGTTCCACCTATATTCTCCCTCTAGGCTCTTACATCATTTATTTGCTTCGCCACAAAATGTTTGCATTATTTTCTATGGCTGGTACTTCTACTACCCTTCAGCAAATTAGAAAGAGCACCAGTCAGTGTCCTTAACCACTACTCCCCACTGGACTTCCTGCCCTAATATCCTTCCTGTGATCCCCACTCTAGAAGTTGACTTAGGGCAAGCCAGTTTAATGTAGTTTGGTTTCCTCACAATAAAATACCTATAGAACTGATGGGATTTCTAAGGCCCCGCCTCTCAAATCTGGTAAGTTAATATATATCTATATCCTACCTCAGCCAGATGGTACAATCCTTGAAGACTCTGTGACAGTTTGGGCATTTGGGGACAAATCTATGTTTATCATGTGTAAGTTTCCGTCAACTTAATTTCAAGTCAGGCTTAGCTGTCTACATTGAGAGACTATAAGCATCAAGCGAGAGGTCCTGTCCTTGCCTAAACCAGTGCCCACTCTGACAGCTACTCTCTTGACAGTTCTCACACCTTCAGAGCATTTTAGGGAATCTGATCCTGCTCTACTTGAACCATGTCTTCTTTCTTGATTTGTTGAAGTTTGTTTTTTTCTACCCTAGAGTTGGCAGGTTGATAGAATGCTTTGTTGAAGCACAGTGACCGCGATAAAAGCAAATAGCATCGTGTTATGGCTACTGGTTGTGACGTCTAGAGAATGGTGGTGATACGGCTGCGTCTTTGGGCAGAGAATTACAAACTGGGGACACTAGTGGAGGGAAGTTGAACCTGGTGATGGGATTGGTATTGGAACATTGTATGCCTGTACCTCAACTATGAATAACTGCAACTCACTGTGCAATGGGGGAAAAAATTAAGTTACAGGACTGGAGCAATAGTACAGTGGGTAGAACACTTGCCTTGGAAAAACCCGTGCTCCATACCCAGCTCCCCATATTGTCCTCTGAGCCCTAGCAAGAGTGATCCCTGAGCACAGATCCATAAGTCAGTTGAGTGTCCCATGGATGTGGTCCTAAAGCCAAATAGGGAAAAAAAATTACAGATTGAAAAATAGGATATGAACGAAAAATGCCACTTAGTGGGCAGCTACAAGTGAAATCCAGGTGTCTTAGGCATTCATGAAGGCCTGGAAAAAAGAATGAAGCTAGCAGCACATCATGAAAGACTAAAAAGCATCTCAAAACGGCATGTGTCAAAGTGAAAGATCACACCCACTAAAACTATTCAAACAAAATCGAGTTTTCTACTATGCTAGGAAAACCACTAATTGTCACACCACCAAAAAATCTCACTAGTATAAAATCGCATTATGAAATCTGGCAATAAATTTAGTGACACAAATCCTCTTCTAAACAAGTTTTTTTTTAATATTTGATTTGGGTTATTTTGATCTTAGAATATGGACACTGTGAAATGAAGGCTTGCAGGTTAACTGAAAAAAGACAAAGCATACATGCTTGCATTAACTACAACCTAATATCATTCCTATACCTAACTAGGTCACTAAATCATGGCTAAATGCCTCTTCACTATGGGAAAAAGTTGATTTTTCATCTAAGTTACAAAGAAAATACAAAGGATCCTACCATTCAGCATTAAGCACCATTTCCTCTAGCAAGTTGTTGCAATTGTCCGTTGATAGTCAATATGTAGCTTTTCCACTTTTAGTACACTATTCGATATGCCAGACACAGTAACAACAAAGTCTCCAATGGAGACGTTACTGGGCCCGCTCCACGATCAACGGGAGGGCCTTTACCTTTTACCTTTACCAATTCTAGTTTAAAAAATATTGGCTTTTTTTTTATATCAAAGAGACTATCTGCAGAGACTATCACTTTCCTCAACAGACAGGAAATACAAAGAACCCAGAGCCAATTATAGAATTTTTATTGTTTTCAAATACTATACAAAAAAAATAGTGTATATTTCTTGATTAACAGATTCATAAACAGTGGTTACAAGTTAAATGTTTCATTCTCTAGTTCAATGATTTACTAAAATTATAATCATTTCTACACGTTCCCATGGACTGCTTTGGCCTCTAATAGACACCTAAGATAGCTTCCCACAAACATCAAGAACATTCCTTTGGATGAATGCAGGGTTCATTTTCTTCTATCCCAGCCATATCCAGTACCTGAGTGTTCACTCTCAAGTTGCTACATTCTCATAATGACAAGTAAAAACCATAATGAAATGGTCAGCACCTTTATAGTGTACTCAGTAAATAGAATGTTTCATATTTCTTATCTGTGAACTCATGTTGAATTTTCCACAGACTATTTTGATTAACATTTCTAAATCATATTTATCTTTCTAAATTCATCCTCCATCTATGTTTTACTACTTCAAGGGGGAAAATTCTTTTCAATAAATCACAGCATTTTTCAGTATGTATAAGTAGATGTCTAGAAAGTCATTCTCCAATTTCTTCTGTCACAGCTGTTGCCTGTACACATACTTCAACCTCACTCTCCCCCTATTTATGTATCCCCAAAGAGTAAGGAGATTTGGGGCTATTATCCTAAAGAAACCGCCATTTCACTTGCTTTTACCTTTAAGAAAAGAACAACCAACCAATCTAATGAAAGATGCGATTTTAAGAAAAATAAAAAGAGCAGTTGGTAGATTTTTTAAAAATGTGTTTTTAGTAGAAATAACCACATTATTTCTATTAAAAAAAAATTCTACTCTACAATCCTTCAACAATCTTTGCCTTAAAGTTGAGGAAATAATTTACAATATGTGAATGGGATGTAATTAAATAATGATTTAAATCGAACAAAAGAAAATTTTTTTTCAGCACTGACACCAGCTGGTAATACAATAAGCTGCTTACAGACCACTGATGTCATAATAAATACTGAGACCTATACTACTGATACACAGAATTTATTAAGCCTTTTACATGTACTACAGCACAGTTTCCACTGCATCTAAAATGTTTACAAAAGCACTAGCAATCGAGGACGGCAGCGTGTTATTTTATAACAATACTTGAGACTTTTCAAATTTGGTTTGTCGATGGCAATTGATCCTAAAGCAAACCTAGCCATGCTTTTTAAAATGCTTTATTGTCACTCCAAGCTTGGCAATCAACATTTGGCATAAACAATAATGAAACCCTCACAACTTGATAAATAACAAATACGACACTGCAGGCCACACACACAGCATGAGGGGAGAGTAGTGATGAGTAAGTAGCTATACGATCAGTGTTTCCTACCGTGGATGATGCAATCCCTGGGATGCAGGAACACCCAGAAGGACACGAGGAGCCTTGAGCATCATGCGCCTCTGGAGGGCATTTTCTATTTGCTTGCTTAAATATGGATTTGGGGCCATGGTAGGGGTGGGGGGAGATGAGTGACATCTTTGGGGGGGGGATGTATGCCAAATAATTTTAGAAAACTCTGTAGCTGATTAATAAAGTACCTTGGCCTCTATAGGTACCACAGGAGACTTTGGTTATCCAGCCCTGACATTCAGTTTTCAAAATAGGGGACAATGTCTATAATAATATTTTATCATTTCTAAGACACTGAAAACAAGTAGAAAATAAGCTGACTTATATTTAATGCATTAACTCCTCAGTAGCTCTAACACCTTAGTATAAATTTTTTTTCTATTTATATTAGTCATAGAACTTTGTGTGCTTTGTTTTAAATAATGCCATGTGAATGAAATGTACATTTCCTAATGTGACTGAGTCTTGCACTTATATAGCTAACTAGATCTTAAAAAAAAAATCTTTTAGGCTTATGAACTGAACATTAACTGAAAGTATTTCAGCCTACTGATAATATGGTATCACTTGGAATGATATTTAGTCAAACTAGAATCCTATTCTGCCTAAAAATACATTAAAATCAGTGACACAATAACCAATACAGTGAAATGGTTACTGTCATAACTGGTGACAAAAAAAGAACGAAAGTTTCCATGTTCAAGTAACCTGAGTTGAGTGCTACGCAAGCTGTCACTCACAAAACTAAAACAAACTGTAGATAGAACCAATTTATTTAGGTTGGTATTTTCAGATCCCCAATATAGATACTTATACCAGAGCAATGATCATTCAAAAACATTTTTGTCACTGGTCGTTCTTTCTTTGAAGGTAAAGAAAAATATGTGCAAACTTTTAATCACCAAGAATGAGCACATTCAAAAGAGTAATCTTAGCATGGAATCAAATATACAGAGGTTCAAAAAGCAAAATAATATAGGAGAAAATGATCCAAAGAAAGTAGGTAAGCATTTATGATAACTTGTGGCTTCTTAGAACATCCTAGCGAGTGTGTCCAGGTAGTACCTCTGCTTTTTTTTACCAGTTTCCTAAATAAAGGGTCCCAAGAGCACATTAAAGATTTCTCAGTGACACAGGTTAAGATATCTTTATTTACTTCAACCCAGAAACTATTTGGTTAAAGGAATCTGTAAAACTAAATAAAAGCACATCTGGTGGAAATTCATGGCGATGAACGTTGACAAGATGTACTTGGATCTCACTTGCAGCATCTGGCAGTGGGTAGCAGAACAAAGGTAGAAATCTCATGGGCTCTCCTGCATCTGTTCTGGAAGGGGCTCCGAGGCGGTGCCACTGGCATTTGCAGTCGAATTCAAGACTTCTCCAAAATCACCACCAGCAGGCTTGGTTCCCCCTACTTTCGACTTTTCAGAAAGTTCAAAAAAGGAAAAGGCATCATGAAACATAAGCTTAGCTGACTCTGCATATAGCAATTCTGAATGTACTTTGAACAATAAATGAATCGGGAACTTAATGGCTCAATGATTATATATGTGGAATATATAATTCCACCCATCATGCATGTACAGAATTTAGTGCTGTTGTGATGTTCAATGCGGTTAAATGAACATCTGCCTGAGGAGCTTTATAAAGCCTTTATTCTAAAATATCTTTACATTTGGATGACACTTAGTATTCCATTAAATTGTTCATTTAGCTACATCCATTCAGAAAATATTGTTGTGTACAACAAAGGAAAGGAAGGCATGTATTTTCCCCAGTTATGATGGAAGCATTCTAACTCGACTCGAAGTGTGGTACACAGACCTAGGAACTCAACATGACTTGAGAACTTGCTAGAAATGTAGAATCTAGGGACAAAGATAAAGTACAGGGTGAAAGGTAATTGCCTTGCAGGTGGTTGATGCCAGTTCAATTCCTGGCACTGCATCTGGTCTCCCAAGCAATGCCAGGAGAGTGATCATCTCTGAGCACAGAGTCAGAAGTGAGCCTAAGCAACACGAGATGCACATTAAATATAAATTCATATATATATATATTTATACATATTTTAATAAACAATGAGTGCCTAACACTCATCACCTAAACACATGGCACATGATCAATAATCACAGAGAAAAGAATCAACTCCAAATCTTTAAGTACAAGTGGAGCCAATGGGTTCACTGACTACAACGTAATTTAGGAAAAGCTCTAATTATTTTACAGATTTGTTGGGGAGTATCTTTACCATATTATACTTTGAAAGCATCTATGTTTCTATTATGAATACAAATCAGTCATTTTAAAAGACGATTTCATCAGACAGAACATAAATAAACTTGGGAAGAGAGTACATCGTAAATGACTGGATGTTTCTCCATATCTTCTGTGTCCAAACAAGGAGAGACCATGAAAGTCCCAATAACACTCAGAACTGAGTTACAGGAAGCCTTTCTTCCTACAATGTAGTTTGTTTTCAAATATTTGGCTAACCATTAAAGAGAATAAAGCAGGTCGTCTATACTGTCTTCTCTTGACTGATGACAAAAATACACACACACACACACACACACATATGTATATGTATATATTTTTTATTTTGGGGGGGAGGCACACCAGCAATGCTCAGGGATTATTCCTGGAAGGGTCGAGGGACCAAACTCCCAAGGTGTAGGGTACCAAGGACAGTACCCTATCTGCTGTACTATCACTCCAGTCCCTATACTATGTGTGTGTGTGTATTTATACACCAAATACTTATTACAAAGTTGTAATGCATCAAGGACTTTTCTAGGACCCTGATTTAAAAAAATGCCAGCAAGCACAAAAAAGACAGATGCTGGCATTCATGGGTTAAAAAGTACACAGACAAGAATGGACCAAATGAGCTAACTGGAAGACATGTGTGTGTAATATCTGCTTCCTTTGTGAAAAGCATTTATACACGGGAGTAGAAAAGAAAAATCTTAACGTTTATATATCTAAAAATTGTTGTTAAAACACAGTGTGTTTTAACATAATAAATTATGTTTTAACATAATAAAATAATAATTTTTAATTGGGCTAGAGCCATAGCACAGCGGTAGGGCGTTTGCCTTGCACGCAGCCAGCCTGGCCGAGCCGGGTTCGATTCCTCCATCCCTCTCAGAGAGCCTGGCAAGCTACCGAGAGTATCTCGCCTGTGCGGCATAAGCCTGGCAAGCTACCCGTGATGTATTCAATATGCCAAACACAGTAACAACAGTGACAATAGGTGTTTGGTTTTAATGAATTTCTATAGGTTTCAAAGGGACCATTTAAAAATAAGTGACTTAATTATAATTCTGAAGCTGTCACTGTCACTGTCCTCCTGTTGTTCATCGATTTGCTCGAGCGGGCCCAGTAACGTCTCCATTGGAGACTTCGTTGTGAAGCTAATCTAAACATTCATTTTAAGATCATGTACATATAAAAATATTGAAGATAATAGTTTTAATGGTTTTTGTTTTACTTTGCTTTGGGGGCCACATCCAGCATTGCTCTGTACTCAGGGATCACTCCTGGTGAACTCAGGGGACCATATGAGATGCCAGGGATTGAACCTAGGTCGTCCTGTGCAAGGCAAGTGCCCCTGCCCACTCTAGTTTATACTCTGGACTCAAAGGTATTAGTATTAATCAACTCAAATATATTAGTGTTAAGATTTACACTCCATAATTATCAGAATCAGCTCAGGAAGAATTGACTTTATAGACTTTCATGCTCGTTTGTTAAAAATACATTGCTGGAAGACATTTGACAGCATCAGCCACAGTCTGGTACTAACCCCAGGGAGAGGGCCAAACAGGACTGAAATGACCTCTCTCAAGGTGACCTGTGATTCTACCAGTTGATAACTTTGCAATTTTTAATGTAATCTTAAAATACAACTTACAGGGGTTAGAGAGATAGTACAGCGTGCACTTGTGCCTTGTACACTGCTGACTGGGTTCAATGCCCGAAACCCCATATGCACCCCTCCCCCCACCACCTTCACTTTGCTGGGAGTGATCCCTGAGTGCAGAACAAAGGTGTGTCCCCCCAAACAAAAACAAAAAGACCGTACAAGTTCATGAAGCAAATTGTTATAGAAAAATGACCGACTCAACTGCAAAGGATAAAACAGACAACAACGATGATCGTAATAAAAATGTCCTATAATTAAGGACTAAACAAAAAAAAATCCATTAAAAGGCATATGCTAGTAGTCGTTAAGATAACAGGGAAAACTATATAATACAACCACAGAGACTGGCCCACATCCAAAAGAACAAAAGCAACTGGTGTTGGCGTAGATGGAGTGAGAAAGGGACCCTCCTTCATTGCTGGTGGGAATGCCAAATGGTTCAGCCCTTTTGGAAAACAGTATGGACGATTCTCAAAAAACTAGAAACTGACTTCCCATTTGACCCAGCAATACCACTCCTGGGAATATATCCCAGAGAGACTAAAAAATACAGTCGAAGTGACGTCTGCACTTGTTTGTTCATTGCAGCACTGTTTACAATAGCTAGAATCTGGAAAAAACCTGAGGGCCCGAGAACAGATGACTGGTTAAAGAAACTTTGGTACATCTACACAATGGAGTACTATGTAGCGGTTAGAAAAGATGAAGTCATGAAATTTACATATAAGTGGTACTACATGGAAAGTATCATGCTAAGCGAAATGAGTCAGAAAGAGAGGGATAGACACAGAAAGACTGCATTCATCTGGGTAACATAAAGAAACAAAATAGGAGACTAACACCCAAGAATAGCCAAGATAAGTACCAGGAGTTTTCCTCCATGGCTTGGAGGCTAGCCACACATGTCAGGGGGAAAAGCAGTTCAGATAAAGAAGGGAGCACCAAGTAAAGGGTGTTGGGAGGATCCTCCCAGGATGGGAGATGTGTGCGGAGAGTAGACTATAGACCGAACATGTTTGCCACTCAATGCCTCTTTTGCAAACCACAGCACCCAAAAGGAGAGAGAGAACAAAGGGGAATGCCCTGCCACAGAGGCAGGGTGGGATGGGGAGTATGGGGGGTGTGAGGGATACTGGGATCAGTGGTGGTGAGAATGGACTCTGGTGGAGGGATGGGTATTCGATCATTGTATAACTGAAACCCAAGCACAAAAATTTGTAAGTCTACAACTGTACCTCATGGTGATTCACTAAAATTAAAAAAAAAAAAAGAAAAGAAAACCTTTATAATACAAGGAAATATTTCTCATGTATTACGAACTTTTTTTCTTAGAAGATCTAACAGCAGAAAAGATATTAACAGCTAGTAGAGTTCCTGCCTTGTGTTCTGCAGTTTCAGACGTGATTCCCAGCACCCCATATGGTCCCTCAAGTGCTGCCAGGAGTTATCTCAAGTGCAGAGTCAGGAGTAAGCCCTGAGCAACGCCAGGCAACTTTGAGCATTTGAGCACTGCTGCCTCATCACCAAGATACAAATAAATAAGAACACAAAAGCAGAATTCTACTACATATACATGTATATAACTAGGTCACTGTGTGGGAGAAACAAGTGTCAGTTTTTACTATTTTCCTAAATTATTTAAAAATTTTTATACAAAAAAAATGATATTAATATTTGTTCTATTCCAAAAGCATGTGAAGTGAATAAAGTTAAGAGCGCAAAGCAATGATAAAGATTTTTTAAAATTACACATTTCTGGGACTGGAGCTATAGCACAGTGAGTAAGGCGCTGGCCTTCCACGTGGCCAACCCGGGTTCAGTTCCCAGCATCCCATATTATCCCCCAAGTACCGCCAGGAGTAATTCCTGAGTGCAGAGGCAGGAGTAATCCCTGAGCATCACCGGGTGTGACCCAAAAAGGCAAAAAAAAAAAAAAAATACACATTTCTGGCTGCACTATACTCAAAAGAATAAGATTGTGTGTGAGGGCCAGGAGATCGTCCAGTGGTTAGAGCTCATGCCTCAGATGAGCCCAAGCTGGGCTCAATACCCGGCACTGCACAGTTCCCTGAGCATCACTGAGTGCAGCCCTCCAAGTCCCTGAGCACCACCAGGTATGGCTCTGGATGCCCCCAGTGCTGCCCCCGAGAATGCAGGGTCCGAGCAGCATTGCATCCTCAGGCACTTGCATGGAATCCTAGCTGGGCTGGCAGAGAATTGCTGATGTGACTCTCCCTCCCCCCCCGCCCCACCAAACACACACCACTGAGCACCGCTGGGGAGGCCTCACACCACCTCCCCACACCAACAACAAAAACAAAGAACATATGTGAAGCCGGACAGGCTAAGTGCATGCAGAACATGGCATGCAGTAGGCCCAGTTTTTGATCCCAGCACCCAATCACCCCCCACGACCCCCCCAAGCACCAGCAGGGGTGACCCCTATGAAACTTGGAGCAGTCTCTGAGCCCTGCAGGGTGTGGTACAGAAAGAAAAGAAAAAACGTGTAACCTTAAATATACCTTACGAATGTACTAAATGGCTGAAGTTCTTTGAATATTTTCAGAAAAGAACTACTGACTAAGAGTGATTTAGTGATACCAAAGGAAGTGAAGGTACCAGCAAGATAGCTCAAAGACCTTGTTCATTCTCTACTTGCCTTTAAGTTTTCCACTTTTTCTTCAAATGATTTGAAAGTTGGGGAGTTTCTACGGGAAGAAAAGAAAAGAAAAATAAGATTACAAACAAAATACAAAGATTCTGAAAACACCATCAGTTGTGTACTTTCCTTTGCCATATTCTTAGTCAACAAAATTTACCTGTGCCATATATGTATGGGCATGTACACAACTATGTATTAATAGGGAAGAGTATCAATATGCGTCATTGTCAGTATCTGCAATAACGTGTCTGATTATTGCATGCCTGTGGCTGATGTGTGTGATAAAAGCCTAGCTAAGAACATGACTGAGAAGACGAAACAAAATCTCAGAAGGCTTAAGTTCTGTTACATCTTCCACCCGTCACAGTACAAGAAAACAGCATCAGTTAAATTTTGGTTAAATTTATGCTCGGGAACTTTTGCTTCCATTCACATATTGTGAGACAGCAAGATGAACTCGCAGCACCAGCAGTTCCATAATAGGGATCAGGACTCCCAGGAACGACATTAACAGGCAGGTAGAGGAGGGAGCGAAGGGAAGGAATGCACAAGCAAAGCCCTCAGAAGCTCTGCATTCACCCACTGATGTGGCTCACACAGGACTTTCTGAAGTTTTTATACTGTCCACCCAACACTGCTGAGCTAGAAAAATGTGAAAAAGAAAATAAGGGGGTCTCCTTTTCCCCACCGTGATATTGTGCAAATGACCAAATTGTGATCCCCAAGTTTGTCGTATTGGTCAGTACCTTTCAGACAACAGGCAACAGTGCCAATTCCCAGGCCCACCCAGTCCTATAGAATCAAAAACTCTAGGACTGGAGCCGGGAGAGCAGGAGGCTTAACATGCCCTCCCTGAAAGTTTGGATGCACCAAGCTGACGGCATGTACCACTTCCAAATGCTTAATGCCTTCTGCCTTGCTACTGGTTAAAATGGACAAACTGCAAGTCGTCGGTGATAGAAGAGGAGAGAATTAAGTCACTTTTGACTGCAATCGACACAGTGGGAAGGAGAAAGATCAAAAGGGAAGAAAACTAAAATGCATTACAGACAGATAAGCGTGGTCAAACACCCATATCTATCCAGCAAAAAGTTTTAGCAGAAAAATAATATTCACTTTTTAAAAAATAAATGGACTTCAGATATAGAGCAATTTGTAGAACAAATTTGTAGAACAAAATGTAGAACTTCGGAAATTAGAAATAAATCCTTTCAAAAAAAAATCATCTAATCTATCTTGCACTCATCCTTAAACGAACAGTTGTTGAAAACTAGTACGTTGGGGCTGGAGCGACAGCACAGCAGGTAGGGTGTTTGCCTTGCACGCAGCTGACCCGGGATCGATTCCCAGCATCATCCCATAAGGTCCCCTGAGCACCACCAAGAGTAATTCCTGAGTGTATGAGCCAGGAGTAACCCCTGTGCATGGCCGGGTATGACCCAAATAGCAAAAAAAAAAAAAAAAAAAAAAAAAAAAGAAAAGAAAAGAAAAGAAAACCAGTATGTTATACATGAAGCTTCTTTAGGGCAGAACTCTGTTTCCCTATTTCAGAACAGTTTGATTCAAACATCTAGAATAACAAGACCGTGCTATATCGACTACGTTTTATTAAAACATATACTTTACCTCATAGCAGGCATGCTAATTGAATGCTGAATGGAGCGTATACTAAGAGGCAGCATTAAAAAGAGATAGAAACAAAGTTAGTGCGGTGGCACTGAGATATTAGTAAAAGCAAACAAAATGTCGCTTTCTAGGGGCTGTGTCATTAGGCACCATGAGAAGTCATCTACTTTTTGAGGTGGAGGGTCAGTTATTCCAGCATAATGAACTTTTACTCATGAGTTATCGGTTTAATCCCAGCAGTTAATAGGCACCTGGCTCAATCCTGTATTTTAACAGCACTTGGAAAACTCTAAAGTGCAATCATGTCAGAAGTTAAATGATTTACTCCAGCTCACCCACAGAATCAGGAATGGCACTTGGGTCTCTGAATCCTGATTCAATGTTCACTGCCTCCCCTCAAAAAATAAAGTGCACACTTACACATACACACACCACAAGCAAGTCCAGCAATGTTATCTGCACAGAACAGAATCCCCTACTTGACAACTTCAAGTGATTTATATACCATTCCTTAGTAATAAGAGTAATACCTATTTTCTAATGAGACACTCAAACTTCATCTCAATTAAGCTAATTCTTAAAGACCATTAAATATGCGCCCCCCATCCGGCCCTACTAGGACCAACTTCTTGCTCAAGGACTATGCCATTCACCAATGGTGAATGTTCGAGATTATCCCCTCAGCATCTCTTACAGGAGACCATTTTGTAAGATGAGAGTAGCCCAATTCCGGGGATCACACAGAGATGGTCTCCTGCTGAGATTCTTATTACGTGTATAATATTTGGATCACAGCAGTTCTAAGTAAGCAGGACAGTCTCAGGAATTCTCAGTCACATTAAATTTTGCATGTTTATTGATTTTGCTTTCTCAAAGGCTCAGTCATCACAAACTACAGTATGTTTCAAATGTGTTTTCGCAAACTGGATTTGGGTTTAGGACTGAAGAACATGGAGGAGGATCCAGGTACAAGTAAATACATGCCGGCAGTTTGAGTAGTTCAGATAGTTTTAAGTAAAACGGACACCTTTGTATTTCACACTGCACATACACAAAGAAAAGGTTGGTGCATTCTCTCTATTCTATAATAGTGGTTGATATTGTGTATCAAAAACCATAATCCATGCTGGGAAAAATATGCTAATACATTTGCCACTATTGCAAGAAAGCTAAATTCTATCCCACACAGTTGAAGGGCAGAAATTAATATTCAGCATCCTTCTTTTGAGTCGAAAACCTAACTTCAAACATTATCTGTCCTTCCTAAGACTTTTCACAGAAGTTCCCTGTGAAAACCGCTGGATGAAGGTGTAAAAAAATCTGCTTGCCTTTGATACTCTTGCACACTGAATTCAATGGTATACTGCCACCACCAATATAATGATCAGTAAATCTCCACCCACCACACCTAATCTCAAGAACTGTAGTAATTGTTTTTATCAGAATTTTTTAAAGATAGCAAAATTCTTATAAATTAAGACATTGGTCCATTAGCGATAGGTACTTGAGCTAGAAAATAAAGAAGGTTTAGATGCTGAAGATTATTGTTTGGGACTGAGGGAAAGTTGCAAAAAATGCAGAGAAAGAGAATTTCCAAATAAAGGACTGAAGAGAAGCAGAGAGGCAGAGAAAAGGTAGGAGAGGTGACAATAATACAGAGAGGAAATATGAATGAGAAAGGGACAGGTAACTTGTTTCTTTGGTTTCTCAATACAATCTTGGTTTCTGACACTTTCCAATCAGCAGAAGTAATCTGAGTGCGGCCTGACCTCACTTAACATCCTGATGTTGGTGTGTACATACTTACATGTGGTTTAAAACAAATCACAATGTCCATGTCAACATGTCAGGGAAGTGGTATTCAGACTCATTCCCTTGGATCCCCAAACAACTTTGTTTCTGGTAACATATGCCCTTTTTTTTTTTCTCCTTTTTAAAATTTATTTATTTATTTGCTTTTTTGGGTTATACCCAGAGATGCTCAGGGGTTACTCCTGACTCTGCACTCAGGAATTACTCCTGGCGGTGCTTGGGGAACCATCTGGGATGCTGGGAATAGAACCCGGGTAGGTCGTGTGCAAGGCAAATGCCCTACCCACTGTACTATTGCTCTAGCCCAACATGTGCCCTTTTCCCAGGTGAGATTCAAGAAAGTTTTCTGTTCTTCATAACCAAGATTATTCACTAGAATCATCGTTCTGGAAGAAATGACAAGACTCTAGCAAAATAAGTTAATGGACAAAGGTGTAAAAAAATCTGCTTGCCTTTGATACTCTTGCACACTGAATTCAATGGTATCAATAACATAATGAAATAGTAAAGGAAGCACAACTTTAATTTGTAATTTGAAATCCATAGTTACAGTCACTGGCTCTAACCCCCCTACTTTCCTCAAAACCATCCAGTGAGTTCCATCTCTCTCTAGCCAGCATGGAAACTAGTTAAGTGTTTCTAGAAACTAGTTAAGGGTCAAAGGCACAGTTAAACAGAATGGTCATAAAACAGATCTCTTAGAGTCACCCTGCTGACTATGACCTTAACACCCAGAGCACAAGTTTAGAATCATCCTGTATAAACTATTTATTAAATTACTCCTAAAAATACTCCAGTAACGATTATTATTATTGCAATAATAATTTTTAAAAAGTTTAAAATAGTCCTGTTATCATTAAGGTTGAAAAATGCATTATAAATGTCACCTGGAATCAATCAGGAATGGAGAAGAGAAAGCAAGACGCTGATGGAGAGCTAAGTATGAGTCTAATTAAGGCATCTTCCCAAGAGTAGGCAAAAGATGGGTGTTAGTGAAGAGCAAAAGGAAATATCATGAGGAAAGAGGAATCTGACAAGGAGGATAACCACTCAAAAAAAGATACAGTGAATCTGGGGATACAGATAAGTCTTTAAAGCATCTGTTTTTAGAGTATAACTATAGGAAAGAGACATCAATATGTTTCAGAGAAAATTTAGAGGGCAACCAGTTGAGGCCTTTCCATTATGAAATATCTGGGGGTTACCAATGATGTTTGTGATGTGACTTGAAGAATCTTAAAATGATTGCTTTGACTATTTCTTATTCTGAGCCAGGGAGGTGGCTCAATGTTAAAGTGCACTAGGAATGCATGAGGAAGGAAAAAGAGAGACATGGAGAAAGAAGGGGAGGGAAAGAGACAGAGAGAGATAGAGACAGTGAGAGAGAAATCTTAAGCATTTCTTATTTCAGAAAATAATGTGGCATATCTTTCAATATGACCTTTTACAGGTTACAGATTAAGACAGTCATATTTGTGATGCTTCAGTTAGCTGTAAAAGGCAGACAAAGAATCTGAATCTCTTAGTATCAAGAAGTATACACCCTATAGCTATCTTTCTATGGGAATATAGAGGGAAAAGCTTAAAAATGATTATAATAAGGTATTTTTAATTTGTAATCAACTACTGAGCTAAGTTTGGTCTTGAGAATATTTCTGTGTTTTCAATTTCACAATAAGAAGATATTAAAACTAAACCCACTGGACAGAGAATAAAATGGAAGCAAGATAGACAGATGCAGAGACTCATTATAAATTGCTTGGATCAGGAAGAGAGCACAGAACGATACGCCATAACCATGCCTCCAGACCCCGTGCCAGGCTGTCTCATTCGGGGCAACCTAGAGGGGGGCAGGTGAGGCCCTCCTCGCCCCAACAGAGCCAACTCCTGCAGCCGAAAACCTTCAGAACTCAACCGCCACCATGCTCACGGCTGCTCTCTACTTGCTCAGATGGGTCTCAGCCATGAGTGAACCTATTCCTGGACCACACGGCCGCATCTCATACCTCACTCCACTAATATTCCAAGAGTTGCGCGCCGCATTTGATGGGGTTTAAAATGGAAGGCAACCTATCTTAGGGAGAAATAGATTCTTACAGATATATATACACACATACATATGTGTGTGTGTGTGTGTGTGTGTGTGTATATAAAAGCACACATGGCTCAACTTTTAACATATCAGTAATCTCTTATAGAAGGACTTAATGGCTCCTGGGTGAAATACAACAATCTTCACACAGTTTCCTCTAAGAAACCTTTTTTTTTTTGGATCATTTTCAGCAAACTATTCATAACAAAATAAATTATTTCAGTTCTGCTTTGGGGCAGGGGTTGAAGTTCCGGTTGGAAACATCCAAAATATGGTGGTGGGAAGGTGTAATGGTGGTAGGATTGGTATTCGAATATTAAAGGTAATCAAATATTGTGAACTACTTTATAGAACACACACTGTCAAACAAACACTGTCCTCCTGTTCATCGATTTGCTTGAGCAGGCCCAGTAACGTCTCCATTGTGAGACTTGTTGTTACTATGTTTGGCATGTTGAATATGTCACAGGGAGCTTGCCAGGCTTTGACGTGCGGGTGAGATACTCTCGGTAGCTTGCCGGGCTCTCCGAGAGGGGCGGAGGAATCAAACTCGGGTTGGCTGCACGCAAGGCAAACACCCTACCGCTGAGCTATCACTCTAGCACTTTATAGAAATAAAATAAAATTAAACAAAAATATAGACAAATGCAAAGTGCAGATCTCCCAACTTCTAAGGAAGCCATTTTTTTTTTTTTTTGTAAAAGAAGCAAGAGGGGGATGCTCTAGGCACTTTGGTGTGGTGACGTAACTGTTTACACCAAGTCTGTTAATGTTAATACCACTGTCAACACAAGACCTTAACTATAAAAAAGAATGAGAAATATGGCATTCAAAAGGTAAAGGCCTTCATTTAACCTCCATGTACTGATATGTATTATATCAGACCTTAACGAGACCACTGAATATAGAAGAGTATAAATTCAGTTTTATTTTTAATGAATTTTAGAGAGTGATGATATGGAACTAAGAACTGTACAAGTCAGTTTGTTTCTGGTGAATTAATAAGGTGGCCTTCTCAAGATGCCGCTCTGTTTAACGTTCATTGATTTAAAGAAGGCCTTTGATTCTGTTGAGACGGAAGCATTCATTGAAGCCCTAGCCAATCAGGGCATTCAAGCCCAATACATCAGGATCCTCTGTGAGCTGTATTGCGGATTCACTACCAGGATCTCACCATTCTACAAAGTAGTGATCGTTGATGTCAAGAGAGGGGTTCGGCAGGGCGATACCATTTCACCGAAACTCTTCAGTGCCACCCTCGAGAACATCATGCGACGACTAGAATGGTAAGGAATGGGAGTGAAGATAGATGGCCGGCAACTATACCACCTCCGTTTTGCTGATGACATTGTTTTAATAACACCAAACATCAGCCAAGCAGCACAAATGCTGGCCGACTTTGACCGTGAGTGTGGAAAGGTAGGACTACAGCTGAATCTTACGAAGACAATGTTTATGAGAAACAGCCTCGTTCCTGACGCCCCATTCACTCTCAATGGAACGACCATCTCCGAATGCAACAGCTATGTGTACCTAGGTCGAGAGGTCAACATGACAAATGACCTGGCACCCGAGCTGCGCAGGAGGAAGAGAGCGGCTTGGAACGCCTTCAAGAACGTCAAAGAAATAGCTAAGAGGACGAAGAACCTCCGGCTCCGGGCACATCTCTTTGACTCCACTGTTCTTCCTGCATTAACATATGCCTCAGAGACCTGGGCCCTACGAAAACAGGATGAGAACGCTATTCAGGTCTCCCAAAGAAGAATAGAAAGAGCTATGCTTGGAATATCACGTTTCACTCAAATGAGAGAAAGAATCCGGAGTTCTGACATCCGTCGACGATCAAGGATCAGGGACGCTGTCTCATTTGCCAAGGTGTCGAAAATCAGATGGGCTGGTCACGTAATGAGATTTAAAGACGACCGCTGGACTAGAGCTGTTACCGACTGAATTCCACGGAATGTCAAAAGACCACGTAGCCGCCCACCTACCAGATGGTCAGACTTCTTCGTCAAGATCATGAATGATCCGTTTGAGGCCCTTCATGTTTCCGGAGCGAACAGATACCATTGGGCTACACTAGCACGTGACAGGGACAAATGGAGACGTTACTGGCGCCCGCTCGAGCAAATCGACGACTAACAGGAAGTTAAGTGATTAAGTGAATAAGGTGGCCACACACCGTGGCCTCCTTCTGTTACTTTGTACCATCTTTTAAAAGGGATAAAGAAAGAAGAGTGAAAACGTGCTGTAATGAATCATTGCACAGCTGCCTTAGATACCAACAGACCACATAATGCTTAAAAGCATGATAAAAATAAAAGTCTCAATGTCATTTTATGGTCTACCCGGGTTCGATTCCTCCGCCCCTCTTGGAGAGCCCAGCAAGGAACCTAGAGTATCTTGCCCGCACGGCAAAGCCTGGCAAGCTACTCGTGACATATTCAAAAAAACAGAAACAAACACTGTCCTCCTGTTGTTCATCGATTTGCTCGAGAGGGCCCAGTAATGTCTCCATTTTGAGACTTGTTGTGACTGTGTTTGGCATATTGAATATACTCTCGGTAGCTTACCGGGCTCTCCGAGAGGGGTGGAGGAATCGAACCCAGCTTGGCTGGGCTGGCTGTGCGCAAGGCAAACGCCCTACCACTGTGCTATCTCTCCAGCCCTGTGACATATTCAATATGCCAAAAACAGTAACAACAAGACTCACAATTTGTTGTGAGACATTACTGGTGCCCACTTGAGCAAATCAATGAACAACGGGAGGACAGAGCAGTGCAGTGCAGACATGTCACACAAAGCAAGGAGCCGTGTCCACCCCCTACTCCTTGGTGAGACCCAAAATAACAAAAGTAAAGATAAGAAACAAAGAGAATGAAAGAAGACATATAACTAGACCACAGCAAGTCATTACTTGAAAAAACTCTGTATTAATAGGATAAGTGGTGGAGACTCTTATACTATTATTTTTGCTTACATGCTAGAAGCCTTCCTATAATATTCTCTGACTACTAATTAAGTAATGAGAGTGGGTATGAGAGAAAAAAGTTAAGCTTGGTCATCAACATCACAAAGATTCTTTCTATAAGGCACAGTGTGGGTTGGCATCATTTTACTTTTACTGTGCTTTCTTATTTGGCCTAATGTACTTCATTTTTTCTTCTGCAACCATGAAATTTCACTTTGCGCATAGTAAAGAATAAAAACCAGAGAAGAAATAATAAAACAGTAAAACGAGTACTAAAAACTTCAGAGTAATCAGACACTTTATCTTACGTATATTTACCACAAATTTTTTTTTTCAGAATAACCTAGAAAACAGATGATTAACTTGGCGAGGCAGCACATATGCAGTGTATTACAATTGCATAATGGGACCCAGGTGAAGGAGAATTCCAAAATCCTTACAAAAGCACCACATGAATTAAAGCATCAAAAAACAAACAAACAAAGCCAGACATTGAAAGGAAGGAATTCTGCATACCATGGTAAAGCTGCTTCTTTTTACCCAAAAAAAAAAAAAAAAAAGTAAAAAGAATGTCAAAATCGTTTTCATATCCTTTGAACCACAGTGTCGAATTCTTCTTTGAATTTATCCATTTCCAATGGTATACAAGAAACCCTCCCTTGAAAATCGAAAGGCACTAGAAAAAAGATGTTCTAAATGCACAAAAGCCATGTAAAAGCCATGTAGAGGACAAACAGAACCACCCAAGGTGGCATAATAATCTGATAAGCACACCGTCTCAGACAATGGCCAAGCAGCAGAGATGGCTCAAACTCTTCTTACCTAAAGGAATGTGAAAAGGCTTGAAATCTGTAAGAATCAGAGTAGGCATTAAAAAAAAAAAAAAAGAGTGCTAGCAAATGTTCAACAATCTAAATATCTTAATTTTTTAAAGCTAGGCTTTCACAACTGGACTCTGAGGTATTACATAATTAAGTCAGCATGAAAGATATGACACAGCCCCTGAGAAATGTATGTTGAACTGCAAGAAGGGTTCGAGAAAGTCACGTTTACTATGTTATGTTCGAAATGATGACTGTCCAAATCTAAAGAGCAAGTTAGTTGGGTTATTTGGTACAAAGCATAATAAACTGATCAAACATATTCAACCTACCCACCCCCCACTCCAGCCAAAAAGAAAAAAATCTGGCCATGAAAAAAATAATCAAAGCACATACTCCAGAATAAAAAACACAAGAGACATGCAATTGAGACATGCAATTGTTTTTAAAACACAAATGTTGCATGCTGGACAAAAGTATAATTGATTTAAAGATTTAAACCACATTTGTCATTCCCAGCACTAGTCTAATCACGTGGCAGGGTGCAGACACAAAGCACTATGGAGTGATTCTATGGAAATGGTCAGAAAAATCCTGCAGATTAATCTAAAACAAAAAGCCACATCACACACTAAATATAAATGGGGGACTTGCTATGGGGGTAGGCTTAAGGGGGGGGGGTCGGGAAAATGGGGACCACGGAGGGTGACAGGGGGTGTTGGGAATGGAGTATCAAATGCCTGTAACAAATCAAGAACAACTCTGTAAACCACAGTGTTTAAATGAAGTCAGGGGGATAGAGGCTGGGGATAAAAAAATAAAAACATAAAAAGCCGCAGCTCAAAGATCAAGATCGAGGCCTCTCCACAAGTGCAGTTTGGGGTTACAAAGCAGTAGACCAGGAAGCAGGAAGAAGCATGCTGTAAGGTCAGCGTAGCACTGTTCCCCTCGGGAAGCAAAGGCAGGGTTCCACTTCAACGTGTGCTCCAAGGGACCCTTGGAGTCATCCCCAAGAAGACACCAGGCTCGCCAACAATCACAAACTGGCAACCACAAGCGCCACACTTACCTTGTCATTCCAAGCTGGACTGAAAAGATAAAAGCTCAGGACCAAACTTGTCCGACACTCTTATTAAACAGATGCTAAAATGGCCAGCTTGCAGATACAGCTGCAAAGTCAGATGGCCAAGCCTGAATCAGCCAAGACATTTCTGGCTTTGACCAGAAGGCAGGACCTTCGGACACAATGCCACCCCATAACCTCTTCCGCCTGGAATCGGCTACTTCAGGATCAAGGAAAAAAGAGAACATACTTGACATCCTCCAGCTTTTTGGTGATGACTGAGCCAACAGACGAAAAAGCAGCTGAAGCCTTCTGTCCAGCTTGAGATAAGGTTTCGGATGTTCTCTTGTATCTATATTAAAGAATGGAGCATACAGAAGTAAGCTGACTTTTCTGAAAATGACAATTTTTTGTTTGATTTTGGTCATAGAGAACATTTGCTATTTAAAGTGCAGCGATCAATGCCTATTGAAAATCCTCAAAATGTTCATCCTCTATGGGACATGGGGTAGACATTTCTCAGTAACTTAAAAAGTGAATTTCCATATATCTCAGAAATTCTACTTCCTGGTATCTAGCCCAAGAGTTTCAAAGAACCCCAATATTTTGAAAAGACATTTGCATTTCTATGAACATTGTAGTGAACATTTCTATGTTCACTATAGCCCTAGTCATAATAGTCAAGATCTGGAAACAATCCAAGTGCCCGAGAATTGCAAACTGGATAAAGAAACTGTGGTTATGTATGCACAGTGGAATACTACTCTGCTCTAAGAAAAGCTGAAATCATGTGATTTGCTGCAAGACGGTGGGACTTGAGGGGTATCATACTGAATGACATTAGTCAGAGGGCGCATGATAACTACAGAATGATCGCTCTCGTGTGTGGAATATAGAGAGACACAAATAACAATTGGCTAACGGTGACAGACCCTGACAGTCAGTCTCAGAACTGATTTTGCAAAGGGATGGGGACTCAGGTAGAGGAACTTGAGACAATGATGAAGGGGCATCCACACTGATTTGGTTGTGCCTGAAGTGGTTTTGAACAGTCTTATAAATCACGGAGCCTAAATGAAAATTGAAAAATTGGAAGGAGCCAAAAAGGGAACAACAGCCGGAGGCTGAAAGAAAATGATCTCTCTTACTCTTCCCTTTTCCACTTAATCCAAAAACAAAACAGAAATAAAATGCCAGAGGGGGGGTGGAGGGGGGGTGGGGGGAGGGATACGGGGAACATTGGTGGTGGAGAATGGGCACTGGTGGAGGGATGGGTACTCAATCGTTGTATGACTGAAACATAAGCATGAAAGTTTATAAGTCTGTAACTGCACCTCACAGTGATTTACTAAAAAACAAACAAAAAAATTTTAATTAATTAAAATGCCTCACAGCGGTAGTGCGTTTGCCTTGCGCACAGCCAGCCCAGCTGAGCAGGGTTCGATTCCTCCGCCCCTCTTGGAGAGCCTGCCAAATTACCGAGAGTATTCAATCTGCCAAACACAGTAACAAGAAGTCTCACAATGGAGACGTTACTGGGCCCGCTCGAGCAAATCGATGAACAACGGGAGGGCAGTGAATTAAAATGCCTCAGAGACTTTTCCCAATTTTATCTGCTCAAGAGGACCAGAAGCAAAATAGGGTTTGTGTGTTCTTCAGCAGTACTGTAGCACTGTCCTCCCATTGTTCATTGATTTACTCGAGCGGGTACCAATAATGTCTCCATTGTGAGACATGCTGTTACTGTTCTTGGCATATCGAAAACACCACCGGGAGCTTGCCAGGCTCTGCCATGTGGGTGGGATGAATTTTATGAACATAACTGCTTATCTTGCATGTTTGTCAAGCTACAAAATAGGGACTTACAGCCTCAGGAGTCTAGGAAAGGCGCAATACTCGCAGGAGGCATTGGGTCTAAGGCAAACACCCCCCCCCTTTCTCGCCAGCCAGGGACTAGTGAGAGAAGCAACCAACCAAGAACAGGGCACCTCCACCAGGGAAGTTAAGATCCCATATTAGAGAAAACAACGGCCGGGCAGTTTTACTTACCCCGGTCACTGTCCTCCCGTTGTTCATCGATTTGCTCGAGCAGGCCCAGTAACGTCTCCATTGGAGACTTTGTTGTTACTGTGTTTGGCATATCGAGTACGTCACGGGTAGCTTGCCAGGCTCTGCCGTGCGGGCGAGATACTCTCGGTAGCTTGCCGGGCTCTCCGAGAGGGGCGGAGGAATCGAACTCGGGTCGGCCATGTTGGCCGCTTGTAAGGCGAACGCCCTACCCGCTGTGCTATCGCTCCAGCCCATTGAGACCAAAAGCTAGAAGGCTGGAGCTATATAGTACAGTGGGTTGGGTGTTTGCCTTGCATGTGGTCGATCCAGGTTCGATCCCAGGCATCCCATATGGTCCCCTGAGCACCCCCAGGAGTGATTCCTGGGTGCATGAGCCAGGAGTAACCCCTGAACATTGCCGGGTATGATCCAAAAAGAAAAAAAAAAAGAGACCCAAAGCTAGGAAAAAAAAACCCAAGACAAAACCCCAAGTTTTGGGAGTGACAGAGTGAGAGAGTGACAGAATGTCCCGTGTGAACTCCACTTCCTGATGAGGAGAGAGTGGAGCGAAGAGGGCAGCCTGTCATGGCAGCTCGCGGTGACGCAGACCAGCAGAGAACAAGCTCACAGTCTGTCTCCTCGAGCTCACCCCTTCCCTCTGCCCTGAGGAAGCCCCGTGGAAGGGCGTGTCAGGAGCCCTGGGTTCAATTCCCGCCGGCACGGTCTGCAAGCACCAAAGCCAAAACAAACATGGAACATGGAGATGATCAAAGATCAGATATCTCTGCCACTAGCACATGGCTCTGGGCACCAGGGATGTGACTTCAGTGATAAGAGCACACGGCTTGCTTGTGTGGACCCTGGAATCACAGGCCGCACACACAGCCCTGCCCGGCCGAGCCACAGATGGCCGAGATCAGGCTAGCTCTTCTATCAAGCATTCTCTCCTCTCTCCTTTCCTCTCTCTTCTCTCTCCAATCCTCCCCTCACTCTCTTCTCTCTCTCTCCTCTGTCTCCTCCCCTTTCCCACCTCTCTTTTCTCTTATGGAGGATGTGTTTCAAATATGCTTGAAATGCACCCCCCCCCATGCCCTGAAAAACAATGAAAATAAAAATAAAAGACTTATTTGAGCTGCTTACCTAACCGACTCCTGACTAGGACATTCTGGAAACTGAGTAGCACATATGTGGGCCGTAAGCTCCCTGTGGCATATTCGATATGCCAAAAAACAGTAACAATAACGGGTCTCATTCCCCTGACCCTAAAAAAGCCTCCAATACGGCAGCGTTGGGAAAGACGAGTAAGGAGAGACTGCTAAAATCTCAGGGCTGGGACGAATGGAGACATAACTGTTGCCTGCTTGAGCAAATCGATGAACAATGGGATGACTGTGATAAGGTGGTACAGTAATAGATAATAGGCATTTGGAGAGATCACATTTTATTTTTTCTCCACACACAACTCAGGCTTATTTCTATCGATGCCTTAGAACAGGAAGACCAAAGTCAGGAAAGACTCTGGCCCACCTGAGAAGCCAGAGGAGGGGGCATGTGTAGCCCAAAGAGACAGAGCAAAAAGTCCCCTCCCCAAAAGCCTTTCACATTTTCCAGGAAAAAAAAAAGTTAAGACACATACGCTGACGTCGCTGTAACATCCTGCCACCCTCTGGCAAGGTTCTGTTTGAATTCCTGTAGAGAATTGATGCCCAGTTTCCGCTTGAGCTCCGCGAGATGCTTCTCTTTTGCTGCCAACACTTGCGACAGAGTCTGGATTTCCTCCTCGACCTAGGAGGAAGGGAAACAGGGAAGGACTCAGCAAGGCACGGAATATACGAAGATTCCACAGTGTCTAAAGTTCCAGTGGCATTGAAAAAAACATTATTTTGATTTTTCTTTTTTTTTTCTTTTTGGGTCACACCCGGCAATGTACAGGGGTAACTCCTGGCTCTGCACTCAGGAATTACTCCTGATGGTGCTCGGGGGACCATATGGGAAACTGGGGGTTGAACCTGGGTTTGGCTACGTGCAAGGCAAACGCCCTACCCGCTGTGCTATCGCTCCAGCCCCTTGATTCTTCTTCTTCTTCTTTTTTTTTTTAAATCTCTCTTTTGAAACAACACAGAGCAAGAGAGATAGCAGAGTGGTTAACCCCAGGACCAGGACTCTGTACGATCCCCTGATTACTGCCAGGAGTGATCCCTGAGTGCAGAGCCAGGAGTAAGCTCTGAGTACCACCCACGTGGGGTCCAACAAGCCCACTTCCCTAAGAGAAACAAGAAAAAACAATGTATATACCATAAAATAAGCCAGCTCTATAATGATCTCTCCTATCCTGCTTCCCATTCTCTTCCTTATATTTCCATCGTGAGTTGCCTCAGCCTCCCCACCCATCTCCCCAGACATCCTCACTCAGATCTCTGATGGAAACTGAGGCACAGACCTCTACGTAGATTCTCTACCCATAACTCTACCATCCAATCCCCTGACCTCAGGGCCCATGACTTTCAGGAGAGATTTGGATTTGTATGCTACCAAGAACTCATATTTGGGTAATAAGCAAATTAATTTCTACCCCCTGCTTTAAAAAAAATAATGCACGACCCAGACAAATCCAACTCCAACCTTCTTGCATATTTTCTCAGTTTCAAAAGTCACAACTATGTCAGTCTGTCACCCCCAGACAGCCCAGCAGAAGTCCCAGGTGGACCCTCCCGCCCTGGTGGTGATTGACCAGCATCAGCTGGCTGGTGAGAGGTAGGCCTGACCCACCTGTTAACACCCACCATCAGCAGAGGTGCCAACACCTAGTGATGTCTCTGCCGTGAAAAGATGCTCAACTAACTAGCATCTCTCTCTCTCTCTCTCTCTCTCTCTCTCTCTCTCTCTCTCTCTCTCTCTCTCTCTCTCTCAGACCTACTCTGAGAAAAGGACAGAACCTTAGAAGCTGAGGCTGGAAAGATAGATAAAGAGGTCCAAATGTACAGGAAAGACAGTATGGGATAATGAGACGTTCTTAACTATAAAGACTTAAAAACCAACAAGCACAAACATGGAAAAAAGAAAAGCAAAATTACAGTGAAAATGCAAAGCCAGGAAAGCACAAGGAAAAGGGAAGACTCAGAAACACAGTGTGGAAGGAACTTTTAAAGTTTTGGGGTCACAGCGGCTAAGGCATTTGCCTTGCACACGGCCGACCGGGTTCGATTCCCATCATCCCATATGAGCACCACCAGGGGTAATTCCTGAGTGCAGAGCCAGGAGTAACCCCTGTGCATTGCCAGGTATGTGACCCAAAAAGCAAAAAAAAAAAAAAAGAGTTTTGGGTCACACCCAGCAGTTCTTGGGGTTTACTACTGGTTTGCACTCGGAAATCACTCCTGCTGGGGTTTGGGGTGCTGAGTGCTTGAACCCTGGCCAGCTGCACGCAAGGCAAAAATGCCTTACTCACTGAGCTATCTCTCCAGTCCCTGAAAGTAAATTTTTTGAACCAGAAAATTGAAAACTATATCCCTAAAGCAGGCTTGTTAGTAACACAAACATTTAGAACCCTTTCCTAAAACAAAAATACAGACTTCAGAAATAAATTCCTATACTTCTAATCCATACTTTATATGTGCTGTTTTCAACAATAGTGCAAAGATAATTCAGTAGGAAAGAATACTATTTTCCCCTGCAAATGGTGTTGGAACAACTGATGACCATACACAAAAGAATAAAACTGGAGTCCTAAATTAGACCATTAATAACAATTTGTAATAATAAAGGGGTTAAGTACTTGTCTTGCATGTGGCTGACCCAGGTTAATCACGGGCATTGCATATGGTCCCTGAGCACAGAGCCACGAGTACGCCTTAAGCACCACTCACTGTGGCCCAAAACCAGAACAAAACAAATTTAAAATGGGCTAAGGATGTAGCCTAGCAACAGAGTACTTGTGGAGTTTGGGTGAAGCTCTGGGTTTGATCCATGGCATGCCAAAGAAATAAATTAAACTCAGATCCAAATTTAAGAGCTAAAAACACAAAGCTCAAAAGAAAACACAGGAGTGAACCTCCATAATCTTGGTTGCTTAGATTGATACCCAAAACACAAGGAATCAAAGGGAAGATACACTGGCATCATCAAATTCAAAACTGCTTTGATTCAAAACACCATAATGAATGGAACAAACTGACATAATGAGGAAATAATTGCAAGTTACATATCTGAGAAGGGTATAGTATCCAAAAGAAAAAAAAAGAACACTTAACAATTCTTTTAAGACAAAGAATCCAATCAAAAATGAAAAATTTAGGGGCTGCAGCGATAGCACAGAGGGTAGGGCGTTTGCCTTGCACACGACTGACCTGGGTTCAATTCCCAGAATCCCATATGGCCCCTGAGCACCGCCAGGGGTAATTCCTGAGTGCAGAGCCAGGAGTGACCCCTGTGCATCACCGGGTGTGACCCATGTCACTGTCACTGTCCTCCCGTTGTTTATCGATTTGCTCAAGCCGGCCCAGTAACGTCTCCATTTGAGACTTTGTTGTTACTGTGTTTGGCATATCGAATACGTCACTGGTAGCTTGCCAGGCTCTGCCATGTGGGCGAGATACTCTCAGTAGCTTGCCGGGTTCTCTGAGAGGGGGATGCTGGGAATTAAAAAAGAAAAAAATAAAATAAAATAGGATAAATAAAAAATGAAGAATTTAAATAGACACATCAGCAAAGGAGATAAATTCTAGGAAATGATGGCCAATATCACCTGCTAGAGAAAAGCAAAGAATGGGTCCAGAGAGATAATACAGTAGGTTGAACACTTGCCTTGCATGCAGCTGACCTAGGTTGGATCCCAGGAACCTGGTATGGTCGCAGAGCCCACCAGGACTAAAACCTGAGCATGCAGAGCCAGGAATAAACCCTGGGTACTGCTGGGTGTGGCCAAAAAAAAAAAAAAAAAAAAAGAAAACATTCTCTCACTCCCAAAAGCATGGCTAGAATTAAGCATACAGACAAAAGCAAACATTGGCCAGACTGAAGAGAAATTGAAGACTTTATATGCTGTTGGCAATAATGGAAACTTGGTAGCAAGACAGTTTGGCAATTTCTCAAAAAGCTAAACACATAATTACCATATGATCCAGAAATTCCACACCTACATATTTAACAAAAGAATTGAAAATTACATGCATGACCATAGAAGCATTTTTATAATAGCCCCTAAGTTGAAACAACTCAATTGTTTAATCACCCTCTGCATAGATAAACAAAACACAGGGTATATTTGCACAATGGAATATTATTCAGTCATAAAGAATAAAGACCAGATATTAACTATAACATAGGGCGAAACTTAAAAAAGTATAACAGATGTGGTCAGTTATAAAACACTACATGTCTGCTTCCAATTATCTGAGATACTCGGAATCTATAGAATCTAGAGAGACAACAACTAGTGGTTGCAAGGGTTTGGGGAAGAGATAAGATAGGAAACCAAAGGGAACTGGGTTACTTTTAGAAGGGAGAAAAGTTTGAGTATTAAATAGTAGTGATGGGGCTGGAGAGATAGCACAGCAGGTAGGGCGTTTGCCTTGCACGCAGTCGACCCAGGTTCGATTCCCAGCATCCCATATGGTCCCCCTGAGCACCGCCAGGAGTGATTCCTGAGTGCAGAGCCAGGAGTAACCCCTGTGCATCACCGGGTGTGATCCAGAAAACAAATAAATAAATAAATGAAATAGTAGTGATAGTTGCACAACTTTTAGAATAAGTATTAACCATTAAGTTGTATGCTATAAAATGGTAACTTTGATATATGTAAAATCATTTGTCATCTAAAAGCTGACATGATAGTCGAGTGGGTAGGGCACTTGCCTTGCATGCAGCAAACCCAGGCTCAATCCTAGCATCCCATATGGTTCCCCTATCTGAAATATTCCTGAGCACAGAACCAGGAGTCAGCCCTGAGTAGCACAAGGTGTGGATCCAAGGCAGAAAACCAAAAAAATGAGATTATATAAAACTTCTTTATTGGCATGAAAAATAGCTCATGAAATAGAAAAAAGATAAAGATATGAATTCTAATGCCGTTTTAGAATGATGTTAGAGCAATGTGTGCATTTTTTTAAATCTGGAAACAGGGCTGAGGCAATAGCAGAAGTAGTAGAGCGCATACCTAGCATGTGCAAGAATGATCCATGGGACCATGTGGTCCCTCCATCAGCATCAGCTGGCATATCTTTGATGGCCCCTAAGCACCCACTGCCAGGCTGAACATCACTGGCAGTAACCCCAATTCCCCCGGTATCATTGAATATGACCCCCATAAAAAATTTTTAATCTTTAGACAACCTAAAACTTTCACACTGAGTAATCAAAAATCTCACAACAAATAACAGCCTAAGATAAGAAGGATTCAGTGGCAAATTCTAACCAATTTAATAATTGATACCATGAAAGAAGAAAGAATGGGAAACTTCATAACTCATTCCTAGAGATTACTATTACCCTGATACAAAAGCCAATGAGGGGGCTGGAGCGATAGCACAACGGGTAGGCGTTTGCCTTGCACACGGCCAACCCGGGTTCAATTCCCAGCATCCCATATGATCCCCGAGCACCACCAGGAGTAATTCCTGAGTAAAGAGCCAGGTGCATCGCTGGGTGTGACCCAAAAAGCCAAAAAAAAAAAAAAAAAAAAAAGCAGTTCAGTCTCAAGTACAGATAGAAAATAATTCAGTAAGATACTCTAAGCAAAATGAATCTGTCACCATAATCACAGGTTTACATGCCACGAAACTTACCCTGGAAATAAAGAATAGTTCAACACATGAAAATCAACGTATTACATCATTTATTTAAGAAAAAATTGATCATCAGATGCAGAAAACAGACAAAACCCAACATCCATTCATTATTTTTTAAAAAATCATCACTGGACAAACTAGAAATAGAAGAAAATTTCCCCAGTATGCATAAGTATTTATGAAAATGGAAAATAAAGATTGTTAAAATGGTGAAAACTGAAAGTCTTCCACCTAAGATTAAGAACAAGCAGGAATGTACCCTTTCACCACTGCTATTCGGTTTTGCACTAGATGTTTCAACCAGAACCCATAAATTTAAAAAGGAATGAACTAAAGGCATATAAAAAGAAAAGAAGCAGTACAAGTACTTTTCATGGTAGAGGACAAGATCTTGTACGTGAAACATTTTCTTAGAGCTAATAAGACCAATAACATCAATATGCAAAAATAATTTTTCTTTCCATATAATAATCTGAAAGGAAGTTAATAAAATTCACTATAATTACATCAGAAGATAATAAGATACCTAAAATAAAGTTAACTAAACAGATATAGCTTCAACATGGAAAACAACGAAATGCTGCTTACCATTAAAGAATATCAAAATGAAAGAAAAATGCCCCATATTCATGGATTAGAAGGCAATATTACTTAGATAGCAATTCTCTACTAAATTGATCCATAGATTCAAAATCCCGATGACAAACTTTCAAGGCTGGAAAAGTAAATCTCAAAATTCATATGGGATTACAAATCTTAAGGAAAAAAAACACAGAGGTAAATCCTCAATAATGTATCTTAATGGGGCTGGAGCCATAGCAGGGCGGGTAGTGCATTTGCCTTGCACGCGGCAGACCGGGGTTTGATTCCCAGCATCCTATATGGTCCCCTGAGCACTGCCAGGAGTGATTCCTGAGTGCAGAGTCAGGAGTAACCCCTGAGCATCGCCGGGTGTGACCCAAAAAGAAAAATAATAATAATAATAATAAAATAATGTGTCTTAATAATGGATATGACAAAAGCACAAACAACTCTAATAGTCAATTGGATTTCATCAAAATTTAACTTCTTTGTTTTAAGGTATTATAGCACAGCCGTAGGGTGTTTGCCTTGCGTGCAGCCAGCCCGGCTGAGCCGGGTTCTATTCCTCAGCCCCTCTCGGAGAGCCCGGCAAGCTACCGAGAGTATCTCGCCCGCACGGCAGAGCCTGGCAAGCTACCCGTGATGTATTCGATATGCCAAATACAGTAACAACAAGTCTCAAAATGGAGATGTTACTCGGCCCATGAGCAAATCGATGAACAACAAACAGGAGGACAGTGTTTGTTTTTGTTTTTGTTTTTGTTTATGAAAACTGAATATAATGTATGGAATGAGAAAAATGTTGCTAATCATGTACCTGATAAAGTTCTGCATCAGAATGCAAAAAAAAAATTTATCTGAATTTAAACATTTAAAACTAACATTTGACATTAAACATTTAACATTAAACATTAAACATTTAAAGTTAACATTTAAAACTATTTTTATAGATTTATTTATTTTGCTTTTTGGGTCACACCTGGCAATGCTCAGGGGGTTACTCCTCGCTCTGCACTCAGGAATCACTCCTGGCGGTGCTCAGGGGACCATATGAGATACTGGGAATCGAGCCCAGGTCGGCAGTTTGCAAGGCAAACGCCTTACCTGCTGTGCTATAGCTCCAGCCCCTTAAAACTATTTTTAAAAGCTGGACCAAGGATTTGAAATTACACTTCAAAAAAGTATTTCAGTTGCTAATAAGCACACAATCAGTATCATTAGTTGTGAGTGAAATAAATATCAAGACTACAATGAGATATAACTTCATCATCACTAGGATGGCTGTGTTTAAAAAAAATCATGGATCAAGGATGTAGAGAAGTTACTGAAGATGTAAAGTGATGTACATGTGAAACAGTTTAGTTGTCCCCACAAACAGCTGTATGGACTTACAACATGACTCAAAAATTCACACACCTATGCACACACCTAAAGGAATTGAAAATCGGTATTCAAAAAAGTATTTTTACATAAATTTTCTTTAGCTCAGTATCAACAATAACTAAATGAATGAAGAGAAAAATAAAACATGGTAGTACATATACTGGATTATTATTACACACACACACACACACACACACACACACACACACACACAGAGTGCAGTACCAATACATGCTGCAAGAATGATGAACCTCAAAACATTACACTGAATGAAAGAAGTCAGATCCAAAAGGTCATTTATATGAAATACCCAGAACAGGTAAATCCACAAAGACAAAAGATTTGAAGGGGCAGGAGTGGGGAGAGCCAGCTAAAAATTACGGAGCGGGAGGAAAATGTTTTAGAACTAGACAGAGGTGATAATCGCACAGCTGTGAATATGCTAAACGTACATTGTACATGAAAAAATGGAGAGGAGAAGAAGGTTGAATGGAGCTATCACAGAGCCAAAGGTAGATCAATAACTGATGCAGGAGCAAAGCTAAGAGCATCCAAGGAAACCCCACAGGAGACCTTCGTGGGTAGAACCCTGAGCCACCCTACTTCTCAGATCCATCAACCCACACAAAACTGAATGGCATAAAAGCCAGCGGCATCACCCTCTTCCATCACCTCTCTCCAATTCAACACCTCTAGTAACAAGACAACACACATTGCTTTCTCTTCCCCGAATTGTCTGTAAGATACTTCAGTGTGTATCAGAAAAACAGATGACAAAATAAGTGCCCCCCAAAAAAGAAAAAGACCATGCAAAGTTCCCCACCGCCGCAAACCCTACCTTTGCAAGTTCTCTTCTCAGCTTCTCTTGCTCCTCCTCTGTTAGGGCCTCTGTCGTATTGATGGTTGCAACAGCATCTTCTCCTTCCTCAGGTACCGAATCTGTTCTCAGCAGACCTTGTTGGGGGGAAAAAAGTATAAGTTATCAAGTAAGAGGTCTGTGGGTGTGGAATTGCAATTCTTTTGTTATTTTTTGTTGGGGAGCCACAACGGACTACGCTTAGGGTCTACTCCTAGTTCTAAGCTCAGCGATAATTCAGTGATGCTTGGGAACCATACAGTGCAGGGTCAGGCTGCCTCATGCAAGGCAAGCGCCTTACCCAATGTCCTCTCCCGTCAGCCCCAAGTGCAATTCCTCCCCTGCCCCCTGCTCCCTGAACTTCATCAGATGTGCCCATTATTTTTCTGTACCATCCAGATGACCCAGTTCCAGGTCATTCCAACAAATGACCAAAAGATGAATTTAGAAACCACAATGTTCCCTCGGCCTGTTTATCTCTCAGTAGCAATATAGTTACTGTGAAGCGAAGAAGTTAAAAAGCCAAGAACAGGACCTTGCTAAGGCTCCAGATATTGGTTAGTGCAGATTACCTGTATTTGAAGTAGAATGCTCAACAAAAATGCCTAGAGAATGTTACTCTATTTCTTTTCTTTTTTTCTCTCTTGGCCACACTTGGCCCTGCTCAGAGCTTATTCATAATTCCGCACTCAGAGATCACTCCTGGAGGGGCTCCGAGGGCCATGTCAGGGTGAGGGATCAGACTCGAGTCTACCGCACACAAGGTAAGAGCCTTAGCCACTTTAAGATCTCTCCGGCCTTCTTTATTTCCATTAGTGAGTGGAGACCAAAAACACCTTCTTGTGGCTTTCAGAACATCCCTTCTGATGCATATACTCTCAAACATCCTCACAGGAGAGCCAGAAAGATCACTGGATAAGCGAGCACAAACTTTGCATGTGTGAGTTTGATTCCCAGTACCTCACGCTTCCCTGAACTCCACTACGAATGACCCCTGAGCACTCCCGGGTATGTCCCCCTAGCAAAACAAAACCAAAAACATTGACTTGTGCACATTCAAGGAAATAATTAACATTCGAAGATTTTCCACATGGGGAGCAATTTCACCATATTCATAATGTGGAATGCAGTCCAATGACCCCAGTCGATCGGGAAGAATTTAGTATTTCTAGAGAGTGACCAGGGATGTAGTGACCCCTCAGCAACTCTGCCCTTTCTCTGGTCATGTAAGCACGCACAAGGACGAAGCAAGATTAACGGGCCACGGAGATGAACAAATGGTTGGAACACATGTAGAATTCCCAGGTAAAATGCCCAACACTGCATGGTCCCCTAAACACCACCAGGAGTGACCTCCTGAACATTCATCTGGGATTAATCCCTGAGCACAACTAAATATGACCCCCCAAAACTGGAAAAAAAATAATAAGTAAAACAAGACTAGTGAGCCCTCCAAGCATTGGGTATAAACTTGAGACAGGCCAAAAATTACCACGCAAATAACAGTTTAATTCAGTATTTTTAACATAGAAAAAAGTTAATGATGAAGACAGTATCAATTTTTTACTAGCCTCATTATTACTGGTTTTGCCTTTCAACACTGGTTCCAGAATGGCATGTGTTTCTATAGCTGTACTACTGAGCTCGTCTTTAAATGTCTGCTATTTGGTCCATCACAGATTACTTTCATTTCTAAGACTGCTGTATGATTACTTATTCTGGTTTTGGAGATTCTGAGTGCCCTTCAATTCCGACACCCTTAGGCTGTGCTTTCCAGCTGTTCAGCGCACACAGGTCTGCCCATCTGCCTCCAGGCTGCAGCTCTGGGCTTTCCGAGTCTCCCGGGCAACCAGTTTCTACAGAGGGGAAGGTTTGCCTCTCTTCCTGCTCTTTCCCCCATCCACAGGCCCCTGCTTCCCACCTCCCCACCATGACTGACATGTGGTGCAGTTGCAGCAGCCATGTGGCACCCTGTCCTGCCCACATAAGGTACCAGGCAGTGAGGACAGACTTAGCCCAAGGAGAGGAAGAACAGAGAATCACCACAAGATTCATTAAGCAGCTAGCACTTTAGCAAACCGAAGAGAAGTTCTGCAAATCAATGACAGAAGGAACGCATCCGTAAAAGGTCCAAAGACCTCTGCTCCAAGGCATGCTGGATAGTAACTGTGTAGTGGTCGTGAATCATTGGCAATGGCAAGGAATCACTCGTCTCCTAGCACCAAAACAGTCCCTCACTGAAAGGTGGTGACAAAACTGGCCAAGACAAACAGCAACGCACACGTTCAAAAGCTATAAGGCAGAGCAGCAAGCATTACTGTCTGGCCTCTAAAACAGGGAGCGGAGAGAGGAGGCAACGTTCAATGAAACGATCGTTTCTGATGGGCTCCACTGAAACACAGTTCAACAGACCGCACAGGTGATGCGGTATGATGGAAGCCCGGTCCCATCACTCCCCAGCTCTGAGTCCCCTCCCGGATGCCTCCTGGCTGCAAGACAGAGTTTATATGGGCTACAGGGACCCACTGTCTTGCACGGGCACCTCTTACTCCAAATCCACTCAGCTCAACCTGTGGACGAGGTGTCCACACACAGTCAGAAACCATCAAGAGGGGTCCCCTGTGCTTGCAATCTTGGCACACTTGCAGATTAGGTGAAGGATCATTAGACAAGAGTACAGAACAGCACACACAGAGCAATCATGACTGGCATTATAAGAACCATAACAGTTTTTTTATGCTTTGCGGCTCAAAACTCTCAAAGAAGTTGTCCAAGTAAAACAGACCACCCCTCTTCCAACCCCACCCCCAAAAAAAGTCAGAAGATAAACCATGTGTTAAGTAACAAATATTATTTCATGCTTTTAAAACACAATTATGGCATGGGTTCCATATTTACAACAGTGTCAACATTTATGGCTTTAATGTGCAAAGCTGCCCCATCTCACCATCGGTGTCTAAGAGTCTTGACCAATGTCCCTGGGTCACCCCAATGCACCTCTTCCTCCTACCTCCACTTCCAGCCCTGCGTCAGTCACAGTTTTGTAATCCGGAGTTTGCTTTCTTGTGTGCTTTTTAATAGACAGTATTTTGAAAGTCTAACAAAGTAGGAAATGTAGCATCTCATGACTAGTATTTTTTTGTTTTGATTTTCACAAAGTTGTTCAGTCATACAATGTTCAAACACCCATCCCTTCAGCGGCGCACATTTCTCAACACCAATGTCCCCAGCTAATGATATATTTTTGTGTAGTTTCACTTCTAAAAAAAAAATCAAAGGATTTCAACTTTCCTCGATTACAGGAGAAAATAAATGTTACCTAAAGGAAAAAAAAAATTATGGTTGTCCCAGGATTTCAGGATCTTGAAAATGATCAGATTTTAGATTATTTGCAGGTTCTGCTTTTTTCGCCATAGCCTGTAGATGGCAGCAAATTATCAGTGTTAAAATGTTTAAAAATTATTTTTAAAAAAAAAGGTTTAAAAATTATTCCTCCTCTCCCATCCCCACCCCAGATCCTGAAAATGAACTGGGGGGTCGGGGTGGGGGGGGAGGGGTCGGGAATATATTAAAAAATAAACACAAAGGAAGAACACTGTGTTCTTAATAACTGTGTTCTTAAAAATGTAGTAACTATTTAGCAAAACTATTAATAACCATACTCAGCGCTGAGTGCATTCTATTTATACCCAAATCTGAGCTATGCCATCCAAATATAGTCATTCGCCAGCAACACTTCTGTGAGTTGGGGTCACTAACTCCATCCGGAAATGAGGAAACTGAGGCTCACAGAGGTAAGTAACTCGAACGCCTGCAAATGCAATAGCATGGGGAATTTGAAACGAAACAATCTGATTTGGAAGCACAGGATTTCCAAAAAAAAAAACACAAAAAGACCAGTGTAGGGCGCTGATGGATCATATTTAGAAGATGCACTGTAGCACTGTCCTCCCATTGTTCATTGATTTGCTCAAGTGGGCACCAGTAAGTAACGTCTCCATTGTGAGATTTGTTGTTACTGTTTTTGGCATATCGAATACACCACAGGGAGCTTGCCAGGCTCTGCCGTGTGGGTGGGGTACTCTCGGTAGCTTGCCGGGCTCTCCCAGAAGGCTGCAGGAATCAAACCCGGGTCGGCTGCGTGCAAGGCAAACACCCTACCCCTGTGCTATCACTCCATCCCGTGTTTAGAAGATACCTAAAAATAACAATAAATAAGATTCTGTGCAAGGAACCAGGGAGCCTAGTTCCAAGTCATCTCTTCAATTCCAATGGCATCCTTTTCCCACACCTGGGAGTCCTCGGCCTGCACCCTGTTTTTCTTAGATGTATTCCATTTCCCTCTATTCAGTAAGACCCCTAGTGTTTACTGAAGAGGTAGTCTGGTTTGGGGAAAGGGTATCAATTTTATTCTCAACATAAAAGTTGGAGAATGGGATGTGTAAAAGTTTAGGTGACTTAAAACAAGGTTTTAATGTTGTCATTTGTTCTAATATATTCAAGTCAAATGTGATGGAAAGCTGATGAGAAAAAGGAAAAAATTACTAAGATTTATTGAAGAATAACATACTATCCATAGACATGAGATTCACATGCTATCTCATCACTCACACACACACACACACACACACACACACACACGCACGCACGCACACACCCTTATAACCACACCTAATGAGCAGTAGAGAATTTGTTCTTGATAGGAAAATGAGGCCCCGGCACGTCAGTAATTAGCCCAGACTCAGAGATCACAGCCCAGGTATTTGATTCTAAACTGTTGCTCCTTCACACCTTTTCTTCAAAAAAAAAAAAAATTACTGAGGAAGAAAGTAAGGCACAAGACCAATTTTTTCTCTACAGGAACCTTTTCAAGGGGGGGGGGGGGGCGGGGGGGAGGGAGTGTTACGTTTTTATCTTTCCATCTCAGTACCCAGAAAGCCCAAGGAGGGGAAAGCAGTAGATTCTGATGCAAATTCTTACATCACCGCCAGAACAAATGTAAATAAATGTTTTACTTGAACTGATTTATTGGTGCAGGTTTTAGGCAAACTGCTTTCTGTTCTCTTTGCTTTCTCAAGCATAGCCACGCATTCATTCG